CAAGAGTAGGGAAAACCGTCCGGCCCGGCCTAGCGTAGCGCATCGGTGACCTCGCTTGCGGTGCATTTCGGGAAGCATGTGCCGTTTCGTACCTTAATCTTGGGCTGGCTCTGTTGCTCCTCATGCTGGACCCAGGCACCTCCCTCGGCGTCGACAATGATCACATCGGTTTCGGCCAGCTCGATCGCGGTGCTGGGCGTTTGGTAGCACTCCTCGCACCACCACTTGTTGCAGCCGGCGCAGTAGCGTTCGCGGAGGCAATCGAGGCATCGCGCAACCAATGATTCGGTCGAGGTCGAACCGGCCCCGGGTTGCGGAGTCGTTGCCGCCTTGATCGAAGACGTCAAGACTGGCGGCGGAGCCAGAAGCGGGCGGTGGCTTGCCGGCGTCTCCTTGTGAATAGTCATTCCCTCGGGGGCAGCGCCGCAGCCGGCGCAACCGCCCAGAGCAACGGTCGCGACGGCCCAGTGGCGCGCTGAGCCCGGAACCCTTACCTTGCCGTAGGCCGGCGAGTTGAAATGATGAGGTCCGGAACACGGTACTGCATCGAAAGCGATGATACCGTGGCAGTCGACCAGGGTGTTGGCCCACTCCTCAACGAGCGGGCGGGTAATGATGCGGCCCTTTTTCTGGTACCACTCATCGCCCTCGCTGCGAAGGGAGGAGCTCAGCGCCTGCTGCGACTTGGCATTCCACCCTGCGCTGATCTGCGCGGCGGCCGAGACCGCAGCGGCAGACGAGACGCCTGATGCCGTCATCGGGGGCAGCTTGCTGTCTGGCGCTCCAAAGATGTATAGGCCCTTCAGTCGGGGCATACCCTCTGGTCGCGAGGGTCTGCAGGCATGTTGAAGGGAGCCGCAGAGCCTGCGCTCGTTGAGGTTCTTCGCGCCGCGGACGGAGAGAATGCGAACACTGTAGCTCGGGTCGTGAATGATATCGTGGCAGAGCTCGGCAGTGACGGACAGGCCGTCAAGGACTAGCGTCTGCACATCCTGAAGGATGTTTCGGCGGCGGATGCTCGAGAAAATGCCTCTCAGCGGGCCAGAGTAGAAGCTGTTGGGGCATCGTCGCGTCAGTATTGGAGTTTTGCGATTCAAGTGTCATGCGATCCTCCGCAGTGGAGACTGAGGCCGTTTTGCGACCGGTAATGACGCCGTTGAACGGCCGTTCGGAGCTTCGGAGGAAGCTCAAGATGGGGCTGGATTGGGAAAAGGACGAAAAGGACGAGAAGGAAATGTGAATGAGAAAAAAAAAACCACGCACTCATCTTCGGTCAGATTCTCGTCAAGTTGAACGTTGCGCCACACTTCGCCACCGCGGTCGATACCATCAATGTCAAATTGCGCTGTGCGGACCTGGGTGAGGTCGAGATGTCTGAACACGCCCGGAGTGTGGGTGACGAGATCTCGGAAGCTTCGGCTCGTGGATGCGAGACTCAGACGATCATGGGCAGAGAGATGGGGAGCTGTGTGGGCGAGGATGAGAGGATTGTAGAGGAGATTGATGAGACTTGTGGGTGGGTTCTCGTAAAGCGTGTAGGCGTCGTCGACGTCCTGGAGCATGTTACGGCGAACGCGCGCGATGGGGTGATCCGGGGGAGCTGAGGTTCTGGGTGTTATGCGACGGCCGGAAACCACGAGGGCTTACGGCGATCAGACTGGAGGGGTGAGATGTGGTGTTTGTGGTGTTTTGTTGGAGGGAAAGAAAGAGAATGCGACAGCAACCTCAGAGCTGAAGATGTCCGTCGTCTCGAAGGGTGATCGGGGCGGGATCGCTGGCGCGCAATCTCTCGGTCTCGGCTTCTGGACGGTGACGTTGGCGGCGACTTGTTTACATGGGGCTGAACGTGTTGAGAGCTTTGCTTAGTGTCAGTTGACGTGAAGGACCATATCAAGAGGCACGTCTTCGAGGGAAGACGTGTCGGTCTAAATATCCACGCCGTTCGAACCTTGCCAGGCACAGGAAATGCGGACGGCGGGCTAGTGTCCGGGGCAAGCAAGACAAGACAAGAAACGTGGGAGTGTCCATCCATCTGCTACGACAAATTACTATTCTGGACCGTGAGGGTGAGGGTGGTAGCTTTGCGGTGAGGAGGTACTCCGTGAAGCGCGCAAGCAAGGCAAGGCCATGTACACGGCGAGCAAGGGACCTTGGACCTTGAACTTTGGGTCGACCGCACCGTCAGTAAGATGCGCCGAGAGATGCAGCACGGGCGGACTAGAGCTCAGCAGGCTAGACCGGTCTAAGATCCAAGTGGATGGACGTCCAAGTTGCCCACCCAGATGATACCCTGGCTGATGTGCTCTACGCGGCATGCCCTCCACTATGCTGTACTTCCGTTTGCCATGTTTCGCAAAGACGCTGAAATGGCTCTGTGGAGGCGAGGGGGAAGAAGAGAGTGAGTAGGAGAGGCGCGCATCAGAGCTACAGGGGAGGATAACCCATGTACCCAGGTACAAACGGGCAGTGACATGTCGCCTTCCTCAGCAGGGCAGGTGTTGTCGGCAGAAAGTGGTAGCGTGGTAGTATCTGGGGTTGGCCCGGTTGGGTCGGACCCTGAAAGAAGGGTCGGCCGTGTCCAGTGGATGGGGTCATTGAGGGCCATTGGAGCAGAAGGGGGGAAAGGATAGTGCGGTTGAAACGGAAGAGCTTCAACCCGCCGTCTGGTGCGGTCTTGGCAGATGCAGAGCAACAGAGGAGGTCCGCTGCGCTGGCACGTCGAGGTCGAAGCTGTTCTGTCTGAGTCTCCGTGCCATGCATGCTCATAGTTATGCTGCCAAGAGTCGTTGTCTGTAGGAGAGGAGAGTGGCGGCAACGGTGACAGAACAAGAGTATGGAACGGACCGAAAGGTGAGGCAACAGATGGGGGGACACAGCAAGGGGTGGTCTAAAGTTGGCGGGGATGAGCGTGGATGAGACTGATGGGATGGGCACACATGGACCATTGGGAGAAAAGGGGGGGAAGACGTAGTGAGGTGTGTTGTTGAGATGAGGTGAGGCGGCACTAAGCAGCAGCAGCAGCTGCTGCTGCTGCTGCTGCTGCTGCTGCTGCTGCTGCTGCTGCTGCTGCTGCTGCTGCTGCTGCATCAGGTCAGGCGGCGCGGTGGTGCACCCAAAGAACCCATCAAAAATGAGCATCTGTCTTTTTGGCGGCTGTAGGAAGTGAGCCCAGATACGCATATCCGCGAATGATGACCCGAGATAACCAGGGGCCGCTTGCCATTAGAAGATGAGATTCGTACGGCTAAAAGAGACCATTGGAGAGAGCGGATGACAGGTCTCCCTGGCTCGGCTGGGCACCCATCTCAACTACTTGGTAGACTCTGGAGGCTAGAGCTACTGGCCTTTGCCTACGCTTTTCTCGTCCCATCAGATCCTTGGGGCTTATTAGATGCCGCGTAAAGAAGAAGAAGAGGGAAAAACGGGATCCAAGCTCCAATAAAGGTGTTCGCGCTGGGCATGTCTTGAAAGTGTTACATGTCCATATTAGCCGCTCCAACCGCTTAAACCTGCCCTTAGCTGACGTGTTTGCAGTCAAGTCAGTCCGCTACCCACCGTCCGCCGTGGCTAAGGTTCCTCCGCTCGCTATTCGGTATTGGCGACCGCAATACCCGGCGGCTGGGGAGTCTTGACTTTGAGATTCATGTCATGCAGCCAGTGACGGGCGATGGGTAGCTCTGCCGGAACTGCCTACCTAGATCAACATCTCGGGGAGGGTTCAAGTGCTGATTGGCCCCTCAATTCGTTTGACTCGGACTAAAGAGGGGAGTGCATGGGGGTCTTCAGACTTCCGCTCCGCTGATCTGGAGTTGATGGCAGGCGATGTCTCGCGCCATCTCTCTCTTGCAGCCCAGTGTCGGGCACAGCGGCAGGTTGCAGCAGTAGCAGCACCAGGTAAGCACTGGACAGTAAGGTGAGCTCCCCAGTGGATGTTGGGGGTTCGCCATGCCTATTTTGGGGAGTGTTTCGGCGCGTTGATCCGCTAGGCAAGCCTGTTCCGGGGGTCACGGAGTTGCAGTCCGGAGTCGGGGCAGTCGGGGCTTTTGACCACATTTGCTTCGGTAGCTTTGATGTTTCTAGTATTTCTGTTCTGGTCGATAGTGGAGGATAGGTAGCTGGATTCGGACGTGAAGCTTCTTGGCAAATGCGCATCATGATTCAGCTTAAGATAGCAATCGTCGGCACCAGCAAGGTGACATCTGTTTTGTTTGGTTTTATTTTTGCTGGGCAATGAACGTGCGCCGCGGAGTCCTCGGGGAAGGGGGTTGGTGTTGCGGTGCTGTCATTGCACCACCATTTCCAGTGAGTGTCAGTAACATCCATTTGTGCTTATCGCCAGAGTCTGATTGGACAAAACTCTGGACAATGGATGCACCAGTATGCTGTGGCTTGAGGAAGTGGCGTCAACTGAATGTCACAGATGGAAACTGGCGTCCGGCTCAAATCTCCCCCCGGATCCGAGGAGTCTGTGCTCCGCGCTGCACGGTCCATGCTGACTAAGGTACACCGTACCTTTAGTGGGGTCATGTCCAGATGCCGCGGGCGGTGAGCCATGGACATAAGGTGTGGCGCGAGCTGGCCCAGACGGGAAAGGCAATGGCGCGGCCGGCATTTGACGTAATGTGGCTGGTGCCTGCTGCTGCTGGCGCCCGGAAGGCAGGACCGACCGAATGGCACCCAATTTCTGCAGTGGTGGAATCCCAAAGAAGCCAATTATCGTGCTGAATCATCTCGCCGCATCACCATGCTGTTTACCACCTGAATCAGCCTTGGATGGACCGCTCAAGAAGACGATAAGGTCGCGCATTCCCTTTGCCAAAAGCTCTTCTGTCACGGTCATGTCGAACCGCAATAACAACTATTCCCTGCGTCCACTCTGTCGATTTCTGCCCCTCCACCCCGCCAAAAACACAACAAGCCGACTCATACTTCGCCATCCCGACCATACCTCCCCCTCCCCGAAAAGATAACAGATCGAGCGACGACTCGACGAGCGCATCATGGACGAACCATTACCCGAGCTGCAGTGGTCGACGCCCTTCGCTGTACTCCCACCCATCAAATCTGCTCCCAAGGATCTCCGCGGCGACAAGATCCTACTCCCACAATCCGCCCTCGAGCAACTTCTGGCAGCCTCCCCGAGACCCCCGGCGCCCTCCAACTCGTCCTTCACCTCGTACGATCCTTTCAACCCTTACGCACGCCAGCAGCAAGTCGCTTATCGAGATACCTCTCAACAATTGCCGAATCCATTAATGTTCCGCCTGGTAAACCAAAAGAATGGAAACGTGGTCTATGCCGGTATCCGCGAGTTCTCGACTGAGGAAGGCGAGATAGCCCTTGGATCATATCTGATGGACGCGTTGGGCATACTCCCTTCTGACTTCGACAGCGAAGATACCGGAAGCAAACCGGTCGACTTGACAGTCGAGATGGACCACGATGCTCAACCTCGTGTAACTGTCCACGCGAAACGATTGCCCAAGGGCACCTACGTTCGCCTCAGACCTCTCGAAGCTGGCTACAACCCCGGTGACTGGAAGTCTCTGCTCGAGAGACAACTACGTGAAAGCTATACCACTCTCACCAAAGACACCATCTTATCCGTCCGCGGGGTCAAAGGCGAGCAATTCAAGTTCCTAGTCGACAAATTTCTTCCTGACGGCGACGGTATATGTGTGGTTGATACGGACTTGGAGGTTGATATCGAAGCCCTGAACGAAGAGCAGGCGCGAGAAACGATGCGCCAGATCATGGCCAAAGCCCAGCCTGGGACAGATAACGGCAGCTCCAAAGGTGGCCAGATCGACGTGTGGAAGACTGTCGATGGACAGGTCCTGCCCGACGAATATGTCGACTACGAGCTTCCGTCTTGGGACCGGAACCGTCCCCTCACAATCGAGCTTGGGGATCTGCCTGGCGAGGACGCGGTGGATTTGTTCGTCAGTCCCAAGTCAACTCGGCAACGTGCCCTCCCGCGCGACTCCGAGCACGTTTTTGGAAACTTCGATCCTCCAGTCGACGGGAAAAAGTCAATCACAATTCAACCCACAAACATTGAGCTCGAGAACGCAGAGGAACTCCTCATCTCGGTGCATGCGTACCCATCATCGAGCGCATCCGGCTTGCCGGTGCGTTTCTCGTTAAGGGCAAAGGCTGCTTCAGAAGACGGATCTCAAGATGGGCCAATTGATCTGACCAATGGTGATGTCAGGTCGCCGGACGAGGAGCAATGCAACAACTGCCAGCAATGGGTTCCTAAGCGGACGATCATTTTGCATCAGAACTTCTGTTTGCGAAATAACGTCACCTGTCCAAAATGCAAACGCGTTTTCAAGAAGGGCTCGCCTGATTGGGAGGCGCATTGGCACTGCGAGAATGACAACGCCTTCGGTGACTCGCCATCGAGCAGGGCGAAGCACGAAGACATCCGACACACTGAACGCGAGTGCTATGCATGTGACTACAAGGCCCCGTCCTTGGTAGAACTAGCACTGCATCGTACAAGTGTGTGCCCCGGAAAGCTCATCCTCTGCCAATTCTGCCATCTCGAAGTGCCCCAAGAGGGGGATCCCTTTAACCCGTCTGCAGAGGTCATTCTATCCGGCCTTACGGCTCACGAGCTGGCAGATGGTGCCCGCACGACAGACTGCCACTTATGCGGGAAGATTGTTCGCATGCGCGACATGGCGGCGCACATGAAGCATCATGAATTGGACAAGGTGTCTCGTCCCAGGCCCGACATCTGCAGAAATGCAAACTGTGGCAGGACTCTTCATGGGGTGGGCACGACGGGTACAGTCGGAGCAGGAACGGCAATGGGACAAGGCCCTGGCAATGATCTTGGTCTCTGCTCCCTCTGTTTCGGGCCACTGTATGTGAGCATGCACGATCCTGAGGGGAAGGCGCTCAAGCGTCGCATCGAGCGAAGGTATCTCAGCCAGTTGATGACCGGCTGTGGTAAAAAGTGGTGCGGAAACGAGTGGTGTCGTGCAGGAAGAGCCAATTTAGGGCTGGAGGCCAAAGGAGCCAGCGCGCAAGCTGCTCTTCCACTCGTGAAGCCGCTGGTGCAGAGCATTCCGGACCTGCAAGAGCCGATGCATTTCTGCGTCGACGAGGGGTCCCAGAGACGTAGGAAGTTGGCAGAGATGTTGGCTGGCGAAGGAGTTTGGGATTTCGAGTGGTGTGTTGCGGCCTGTGAGGCAGCGTCGGGAGATCTTGACAAGGCCAGGGAATGGCTTGGCAACTGGGCGCCGATAAAAGCGACTTGACTTTTAGATGTATGAGGGCGTTCTGGTATAGAAAGAGGTTGTGAAGCATGATACCATTTTTACATAGAAGGCGGTGGTCACGTTCTGATAGATGATGAAGAGCTGAATCGTATCAAAACTATACATTCTCGATAGCTATATGTGTAATGCCTGCGATATTCCACCCCGCCCGTGGTTTTAAATTATCATTCAATTCCATCCGGGACCATGGACTGATACAAGTTAACCCAAATTTGCATTGCGTCATGCCTCCCATAAAATCGTTCCTCATTGTAAAGGACGGTATTCGGTATTTTGGCTAATGTACGGGGGTCTGAGGTCATCAGCAAGTCGATCCTAGAATAGGATGCATAAGACGGATCATATTTTCATTATCAACTTACCTCAACAGGTTCTTGGCTCCAACGATGGCCGCCGTACCTCCCGCGTAAATGCCCAGGAGTCTACTCCAGCTGACGTTTCCATATGCGTTTTGGCCGACACTTAGAGCAACCAAGTCGTAAGCAAGGCACCCGCCGAATATCCAGTCGCTAGCAGTCGCGAGAAGGCCAAAGCCGACGCCAGTGAGCACCTTCACTGCAGTAGACGGCTGTTGTCCGACAAAATAGGCTACAGAGCCATTATGCAGAAGGTCCAGGACGCCGATTCCAGCGAAGGTCTTGGCTACGATGTGAGTGAGAACAGAGTTGACGGATTTGGTGTTCATTTTCGGCAAGCGGCTGGAGATGAAATACAGCTGAGCGAGACTATTGATTACGACAAAAATATTGGCCGTCTTGAGATCCGAATTGTTCCAAAATATCATCCAAGCTGTCATTTTACATCAGTCTGAATCTCGAAATTGCTGGAAACGAGGAATTCTCACTGGCGATGCAAATGTTCCCGATAGCATAGAACGGTGCAAAATCGACCATTGTTGAAACGTCGGCGTCCACCTGCTCCGCCTTCGGATCGGCCTTATACAGGCGCCATAGCCACGCAAGCTGGAACAGTTGCTGAGGGAAGAAGAAGCCCGCGATGAAAAAAGGTTGCGGAGAGAAGAAGGAAAGGTTTGCGTCATGAACATCCTTCATATTAGGAGTACTGAGCATGCCATAGTTCTGGGCGGCAAAGTCGACGATGAACGACAGGGGCGCGAGCCACCTGGCGGTTGAGAGTGAGATACCCATCATTGGTGTTATTGCACGGTACAAGACGAGGACGGTATGGCTTCTGGGTGACAGAAAGACAATGTGGTAAGCTGTCGGGGAAAGTAGAGGGGTTATGGTGGTGGTCTTATTCACTTTACAGGACGGGCAGGGATGATCGTTCGCATTTTGGTTATACGCCAGTATCTCGATGACACGTTCGGTGTTCCCAATTGGCCGACGACCGACGCTCCCGGATACTATAAAAGTTGATGAGCTCATGATTCTGGCTGGATGGATTGGCTTTGTGCACTTACGTCGCCAAATAAGTGTCCTACGTCATTGACTTTTTTGGGTCAGCACAAGCGCCGATGGGGTCCGTGATGACCGCCCGATTTCATCGGCCCCACTCCGAAAGTCCTTCACCCGGGACGGCCGGTCCCCGGCAGTATGGATACTAATGCTATGGGATCTAACTTCGCATCAGTTCCCAATGCGAAGGCATTGAGGGCTTCCCACCACTGATTGACCACAAAGGCCCGGATGTGTTGATTGCATATTATTGAATTGATGTTGAGATTATACTCAAGTCTACTCTGAAAGGTATCTGTTCTATGGTGCCTCGACGCTTTTTGAGTCGCTCAGCGGACTGCTCGGACTATGTAGTTTCAGTGGCGTTTGGATGACTTCGGCATTCGCTTCGAGGTCCCTGTTGGATTCTGGAATGACGGTAGAGTTATCCATATTTGCAGAAGTAATGCATTGGATCTCTGCCGTGTCGTCATTGGTCGGATTCGCTGGCCGGCTCAGAACGCTCATGGGATATGTGAGGGTTGATCCCGTCAACCCTAAATCGTCACCGAACACATCTTTTCCTCTTCCATTTTCTTTAGATCCAAACGGACTGCGTCTCCTAGCGTGGCCTATGGTTTCTACCGGTGGCAGCTGCGAGTCGTGGTTGGTTGTCTCAAACATCCGTTGGTACCAAGGGAGCCTCTGGGCCAGCTTTCGTAGAAATGGCACGCAGGAGCAGATAATCAAGGTGCTGACTTCAGCCTCTGACCATATGATAGGAACGGCAAGGTCGTGCGTATCATCGAGACCCATTTCAGTCACGGAGTGCATCCGGATAACGGAAATCGCACAGACCCTTGTGGCATTTGTCAGTATCAGGTCAGAAAGCGGGCAATTGTGGATGATTGACTCACATCAAGCCAAGTGACAGCATAGCAATGAGACCAAGTCTCTTGATGATTGGCAGTTGAAGCCTCCAAAGGAACGGTATCGGTTGAATGAAAAGGATCAAGTCAGTGCAAAGGTTGAAAGCAAACTGGATGTTTCATCAGCATCCAATTCGGACAGAACGAACATTCTGGTGAAGAAGTAGACACTTACGCCAATCCACCACAGCACAGGTAGGTCAAGGCAGGTCCCTACCATACTCGGAACCCATGCTTTCGAGATTGGATGACACTGGAAAATTGGAATCATGCTTTCTTCGATGGCTTGGCAGCACAAGAATACAACGATCGTCTTGTTGACGATGATGAGTCGTCTCTCGGGAAGCATGCGGATGTATAACACGGCAAAAGACATTTTAGCCAACGCAAGACCGTAACTGTACGTTGAAGATGTCGATATCGTTAACTGCACCGCAGTCAGCACGAATCCACTTGCTTCAATTCTAACGGTATGCACGCACCTTGAGGAATCGCTCGTAGTTTACTGGATCAACGTCTTGATGATGGCGACCAAAGCCTGCATGAGCAGCTGTCCCGGAATTAGCTTCCGTTCCACGAAGGGCAGAGAACACTCTTTACGTACACACAAGAGTCTGAATGCACATGGCCATGGTGAACACCTGGAAACATGTTAATCAGTCGTTGTTTCCCTTGATCGAGAGACGCGCTGGCACGACGACGTACCCAGCTTGCAACAATGAGGACTAAAACCATTTGTCAGACAGTCTATTGGGACCTCAGGTTATGGTTTCACTTACCATCATCAAGTCCATACGTCCTCAGGCTTGCCCTGACGCCGACGCGTACGGATATGACCAGCGTTGTGAGGCACATCATGGCTATGGTAGCGCCGATGAGTGGTTCCACCAAGCTATCTGCCATTTTGGTAGGCTCCCGTCACCGCCACTCCACTACTATGTTCTGATTTTCATGGGAAGTTTCCGAGCCGAAGGATCAGGTTCGCGTAAGAGTCGTTCGTCGCTTCTCGAATAGTGGCACTTCACGTCCCCAAGTCCCAGGAGCAGTGGAAGTTCAATCCATCATTCTGCGCACGTGGGTACGCCATGGAAAGATATGACGATTAGGCGCAAAGTGTACGAGAGCTTGGCAGAAGAAACGGAGTGTGTCAAAGATCAAGCTATGACATAAGGGGGCAGTCTACTTTTCAAGATCTGCGAAGTGGGTGCCGGATATTGGCTGCGGCGGGCGGATGGAGACCCCTCCGCTCTACCCATTGACAGAGTTTGCGGAGAGAGCGTGAACTAGTCAGTCTCATAGGATAATTGAGAAGCCCTTTTGTCTTGTGCTTCGTAGAATTGGCTAGACGCGAGCTACTCGCAAAGCTTAGCTACCCCACGGAACTCCTGAGGAAGCAAAACCTTGCCCCGTACCGCACTTAAGATCAGGCGATTTCTGCCCAGTTTGTGTCTTTGATGGGCTAAATCACTTGCTGGCCGGTCTTTGGATTCGGTGTTTGGAAGGGGAAGACACAAATTAGCTCCAATTCAACAAGGGCAGGCTGGTGTGAAGTATCCCGCCCGGGTTAGTTTTCGAGGGGGTGAGAAGCGCAGCGCAAAGTTTAAAAGTCACGGTTTGCATCACGTCTCCTGCGGCGTTTCAAGAACCGCGAAATATACCTCACGGAAACCCATACCGAAGTTAGCCAGGAGCTAATCGGAGGCAGTTTCCACCATCCAATGAGCAATTCTCCGCCTTGGCGCTCACGTGCAATTATCAATCAACCCTGGCAAGTTCGACGGAAAACCGTCGCTCCCACCTACTATCCACACACAGACGAGTTTTTCGCCCTATCATGAGAAGAGAAAATTAGAGTTGAGCTTGTTTTGCGCTTGCTTCTCAGTGATGAAGGTCTGTGAAGACTTTGACGAGTCAAGCGTCTGTCACATGTCGGTAGCGCAAGGTGTAGGGGACGTTTACGAGTCCAGCCTTTGCAAAACGAGGACTCGACGGCGCAGCATGATATATCTCACAAGTAGGAAAACGCATAGAAAACGAGGCTGCTCTTTGAACAAATAATGTTTCCATCTAGAGTTGAAGCTACTTTCAGCTGATTGACACTGGTATGGATATCAAAGACGGGTCTAAATCTAGCTAAGTCTGATAGTCTGTAGCCGCCTGGAACGTGGAATACCGTCAGTCATCTCACAAAATCTCAATGACGTCGTGATCAACGAGAATTTTACTTCATTGGTATTCTGATTCCTCGTCAAGCTGCGACCTCGTGTGATTTGGAATGACGACGATATGAACAATGACGCAATTAGATCTCGTACTGCTCAGCTTCTGGCTCGTTACAGCAGATCAGCGAACGTTGGCAAAAAATTACTCCTATGGCAGAGTCGCAAGATAGAAGAGGTTCACCGGCTACCAGTTAGAGTGATTTGACGCGTAATATCGCGTCGGTTCCGGCGTGAACCGAGAGGGTCTTTGGCATAGAAATGCGCAATCATGCTGGCATCCCATTTGGATAGGACAGTTAACCTTCTCGACCGGCCATTTAGTCGCTAGGGCCATGCCAACGGCGGCCCTCTCCTACCTGGAAATGTACAATAATAGTGGCTGGGCTTTATGCACAAGCTTGTCAACCAATTATGGTAAGAGCTTTCGGCGTTTGGCCCCAAACGTAAAACGTTGCCTTTCGGGGTTTGCTTGTTTTTGCAAAACCACAACACACTATATTCCGTATGTCAGTACCGTAATGGTGCTTTTCTATAATTGTGTGGGGTTCAGTGTTGGGGGCTGTAGATACGCCAGAGACTGTTGATTAGGGTAGCTCACTGAGCAGGGAGGTGTCCTGGTCATTGTTTGGCATGTCTTGCTCATAAAGCAACCTTCCAGAAGTTTTCAAAGTACATAGTCTAACACCACGGTCATAGGAAGTGTGGTATTAAGCAATTAATATTACTGTTGCAGCATGTCTATATCCCGGCAACACTCATTCATGTCAACAGAAGTACTCGCGCTGAAATACGAAAGGCCTCAAGGAGCCACATGACTCAACCACGGGCTGGTTAAGTCGGTGTAAAAGCTGGCGCCCTTCACGATTGATGGTGCCCCCACAGCAGTAACATTGCAGTTCGTGATCCAGTTGCCCTCGGAGTCGAGCTTGTTGGACACGTACTTCCTGTAATCTTCCAGTAGACATGAAGATCCGGGTCCGTTCTTGCAAGAGGGCAAAGGGTAAACGGCGTCGTTCAAACGGATACGAACATAGGTTACGTTGTGGGACCCCCCAGGAGGACATGGCGCAGTTGAGTTAGAGCATCTCTTGACTGGGAGAGAGGTGCGTGATATGTTTCCATGCGTTCCATTGCCAGAAACAGCACAATTAAGTCGCTCAAAAGCGATGGTACCTCGCATCGTGGTGTACCGAGAACTGACCCAAGTGCGGCTATTGTCTTTCTCAGTCGGAGAAAGCGGAGCTTGGGAGTCCATAACTCCCGAGGCTGTCACAAGCTCGTTGAGCTGTCCGTCGTTGAGAAAAGAGACAATGAGCTTTGGTAACGTGAACGTGCTTCCATCGGCCCGTTTGCCGGTGACGGAAGGGCCTTCGCCAAATAGGGCCATAAGCGCGTTCAAGTAGGGTGTCATCATCTTGGATGGAATGTCCGTGCCGGGGCCAACTCCGTAGTAGTAGCGCAGATCTTGGAAGTACTCGTACTGGAGGAACTCCTCGTCTGAGAATATATCACACCAAGGTGACAGGCGACCGGTGATCTGGCTCTCATATCCGCACAAGTAGGGGATTTGCGACACATCGTTCTCGGTGAGCGTGAGATTGCCGGTAATCAAGCCTTGCAGGCGCTCGAGGACGGGGGGGATCCAGACGGCGTTCCATTGAGAGACGTAGTCGCCACCTTCCGTGTCAGCGAACGTCGGACACATATCCGACGGAGCCAAAGAATCGCCGATCCCGCCTGGAAAACCTTTGGAAGTGACTGATACGATATCTCCGAACAAGGTGGCGTTGGTCCCCAAAAAGCCACGGACAAAAAGCTTCGCAGTCTGTAGAACTCGGGAATAGTTGTTGGCCCAGACCATGAATTCTTCGCCCTCATTGTAAAGATGTGGGTATCTTTCGGGGTCAGCAAACTGTCCTTGCGTGCAAGACTGCGGCATTTACCTTGTTCTCAAAGTGTATCCCAGGTCATGCGCTTCCTTGTAGCCAGTCGGGCTCAAGTTGGCAATTTGAGACGAAGGATTCGTCAAAGCGGTACGCCAATTGGGTAGAAAGCCTAGGCTACCAGAGGCCGTGTAGTTTCCAGCTTGAAACTATGAAACAACTTGTTAGTCGCAGATGGGGGCGGAAAGGATTCAGTTGACTGACTCGCTCCTGCATAGACACCCAGCCATTGTAAGCGCCGGGATCGGGATAACGTGAGCCATGCCGAGAGACGTAAGCTGCCTGGTCAACGAAGCAATTTTCCGGAATATCCGATGAAATTCCGTTGACGTTTGGTCCTGGACCATTAAACGGTCAGTTTCTGTTAACATGAAAACGCCTGAAAAGGCATCGATCGAGGAAGTTGACAACATACCTGCGTACCAAGGGCCATTGGCGCCGAGGTGCTCCAACGGGTGCTCTGCAGTCTCGCTAGCCGGAAGATTAATGTCTTGAACCGGCGCAAGAAAGCGCGAGTTGGCGCTCACCAAGCCAGCGGCGAAGCAAATGAGACGGAGCTTTGAGATGGCCATTTTATCTCAATTGCTTCTGGCTGACGATACGGAGGGCTGGCTAGAAACGATCATCTCGGCGCCTGGAAGTCATGGCAGGTCATTCTTCAATTATACCATGTGTTTCTCGGCGTCGGCCCGGTCATTACCGGGCACGTGCTATTATCGTGTTGTTTACGTTCGGTGGACTTGCGCGGACAAACGTGCCGGTTCACCCAATGTAACATTGGCATCATGGTGCACGTGAGAAACATGCACATCTGATTTGACGATTTAAACAAGGTTGTGGATCCCCAACGGTGATTCGATCCCAGAAGAGACGTCGTACCCGCGGCTGCATTCGCTAGCGGCGCCGACCCGCCCCCGGAATACCATGTTGAGCCGGGGGACTATGTCAGGCAATATATTTCCGCCCGAGGAAAGGGAACGCGCTGAACGAGTCTGCAAGATGGTTCACTGCACACCTTGAAGTTCGAGACTTCGATTCGCCCGCAGGCACCAGGCCTTCTCGACATGAAAGTCAACACCCGGCCATGCCCCTTTTGTTGAATTATTCCTAGCACATAGTATTGCCCGGTGCCAAACATTCTAGTCCGCAAATGTGGCGCTGGCGCTCCATATTCGCACGTCGTTCGTTCGATGAAGTTCCCGTAGTGAAGAACGATGACCTCGAAACCTGGCATTGTGCACATGAAGCGGTAGTCCGGTACTTCGTCCAGGCACCAACAATCTCAGATCTCGGAAGGGGAGACTTGTCGATCTAGGCGGGATGTAAGTGAATGGTCTCTGAGTCGGTTCTTATTCATTTGATCTCCATTGGCTAATTCCGAACAGCTTCTCGCGAGGGTCGTATGCCATCGGCAAAGTCGCTGGCACTCGACGGATATTCTCATCAACACAAGAATGGGATTTGTACAAGAGAAGGAATGCCGGAGTTGTGACGGAGAATACATGCAAAAGCTACTCTAAATAGGGATGTCTTGAACGCCTTGGTGGCGAAGTGATTATGAACAGCGGAAGGTGAACTGAAGAAAAGACATTAGCGGCAATCGCCGACATTATTCGGTTCTAAACCGTCATATGAGCGAAATGCTGCCCATCACAAACCAGTCTGTGGAGGCATATGCGACTGTGAAGAGACGCATATTAGCTTGACTTTAATGATAGCGTAATCCATTCATTGGATATTCTAATTGGCGTCACACTGTTGTGCGCTGTGCCTCCATGGCGGTTCAAAAAGAGTTTCCAATTTGAGTCTAAAGTTGAATAGGAGATCTAGGAGGCAACACACAAAACCTGAGAGTTGAACTAAACTGACCATAGATAGCTGTTTATTTCCTGAATTGCACCTGACTTCCAATAGAGTAATCATAGGAATATAGTTTCTTCAACTAAGAAGGCTGCTGATATATGTTCTTAGTATTTATACTAGCGCCGTTTGTTTGAATCTTACATATTAAAATTAATCAGTCGTTAAGCCTCATATAAGAAGTCAATATCTCAAGCTGGGGGGTATTACAATTTTATTTTTAAACTGTTGACCGCAGTACGTCACTGCATATTGATCTCGTATTGCTTCTGTTCTACCCTCAGCATTGCAGGCAGTTAGGACGTCTACAGCTAATCCCTAAGGTAGAACTGGCAAGGCAGATATAAGAAGCACTCGCATGTCCATTTATGACCGTAGTGTGATCGAGAGAGGCGTGGGATGAACGAGAACATTTTGTTTGCGCCATAAATCATATTGTGTGGTCTGATAATAGCATACACTTATCTGTGCTGAAGGCGTCCAAAGCACGCGTTGCAGAAACCAAGGTTTCTTCTTCACATAAGATTGCAGTAAGCGGCAGGACGATACCGCCGCTTTAGAGCGATTCCTATACGAAACACATCCAATAGGCAGCAATTGCTCCAGGACCATCAAAGAGGAAGACTGTCGAACCACCGCAAAGACCCATTTGACTCCTTAATCGACCATATAGTGCCTTGGGGACTTACTCGTTTTTGCTCCCAGACGGGCTGTTTGCGTGTTATATCAAAGTCTGCATGAAATTCAGCGAACAAAATTTGCCTAGAACATCTCTCATGAAATGTTAGGCGAGGAGCTGCTTGACAGAGGCGAGATTTGCGAGGAGCAATAGTATAAAGCTATTTGAGACAGGCAAAAATACACTAGGAGCAAGGTGAGCCCTCACTCTGAAGAACTTGTGTTTGGATGGCTTTCAAGAGTTTGCCGAAGGATGTCTATTCTAACTCAAACACTTTTAATGTCGTGCATGATGAGCTTTGGCCATGTGCTCGTGTCCAAGATTTCCCCCGGCTCCGATGCCTCGGGTTGTCAAACTGACCCGAGAACCGATCGGAGTCTTAAACTCAACCGAGCCGACTTCTCACTCATAAAGCTTCGGTATTATGTGGCAATAAGGAGCCGGTCACATCACGAAATTTGCAAAAATGCAGGTTAAAAATTTCAGCATATAAGCGTCAACTCGCCTACATCTCGTTGCTCTGCGTACGACTGGTGTCAAATGTTGTTCTAGCGCAATGATTTGCCGGATTCATTAACCTCCAGCCCGAAGCGGTTGATGGGCACGTTGGAAATTGAAGCATTCATTGGGTGCCGGGATGACGAACGATGTAAAAGTTTTATTGGTTATCAATGCAATTTGTTACCATCCTGTTGGAGTTGTCATGTCAAGACCTTCGAACGATGACAATTGGCGATTGATGATCTCTTGATCTGGCATCGCCAATGGGTCCCAAGACGAGGCCCCCGCACCAAGATATCGTTGAAAAAGATGTTCCATTGGAGGATGATCTGATTGATGATGGTCTGCGGCAGTACGACTTCCCTCGGGATGAGACGGAGGTTCCGTGCCAGCCCGTGACCTACTCCAGTGAGGCACCATGATCTCGCGGATTCTTGTGACATAGGCGGGTTCGTCTGGCTGAATACCATGTTCGGCACAGAGACAGTCTTCTCTCACCTTCCACGCTTTCAATACGAATTTTGCGAGTGCTATGTTGTACTCCTGCGAGGGATCAAGGAACTCCGGGTGATACTCATAAACCGCCGGAATCTGTTGCCAAGCGCGCTCAACTAGATTTCCTGAAGTCCGCTGACTCAATTGGCCGACCATGAAAATTACCACGTCGAACTGGAAAAGAAGCTTCAGGAACCAATGAAATCCTTGGTGCTTATTTGATCTGTAGGCATTGACGTTCTGCTCAGTAGTCATGACTGACCACTTGAAGAGATTGTCTTTTGGGGTTAAGATCTCACTTCCCCACTCTGGCTGTTCCTGAGGAGGGCGTGTGGTTTCTTTGACCTTCTGGAGAATGAGGGCTTTCAAAAGCGAAGCGAATTCGTGCACTGCGCCTGCAGACGGGTCGGAGTTCTTCTCCAAAACTCCATTCAACCGGTCTTGGAGTTGTTTGATGAACGAGCTGATTTGCGCCGATTGAACTTTGCTCTTACGTCCCGAGCTGAGGGTACTAAGTTCGTTGTACAGCATCAGAGCTTCGATATCAGGTTGTTGCTGGATGCAATGCCCGATCTGGAAGACTAAAAGCGGTATCACCATCTCCGTGGGACCCTCACGCTCCTGATACTTGTCTGTAGCCCCTGGATGCAAGTCTGCGTCGTTGAGGTTTTTCGGGAGCTTGCAGTCGCTCGGACGAGGGAGCAGTGATTGGCTCAACCCAGAAATCATGGAAAACTTGCAGTCGAGCATGAATATTTGCCACCAAATGCGGCGCCTCATCTCTGTCTCGAACGGGGGCAGGCCGAGAAGCTCTCCGTCTCGATGGAGACCCATTTTCTGCGCAATCCGCACGCATATGCCGTTCAAGATCCAAGCGCCGTGTATGTTACAGCGGCCTTGGATCGACATCTTGCCGAAGTCAGTAAACATCAGGCTTGGGACTGAAGAGCGGCTTACCATGTGAAGCACGAGCGCCTGAAGAGTGGTTATGTCGTGCGATTTGAGAAAGTCGGCGCGCAGCAAGCTTTGCCTGACGCCGGTCGAAAATCTCCGGAAAGCAGCATTGCATGAGGAGCCAAGCATCGCCATGCACTCGTCTTCAGTTAAGGTGACAATTGACATGCTGAAAACTGCAAACATCAGGGCCTCCACATTGTTCGGAAGATGTCCAGGACCACTCGCGGCTTCCACAACAAATGGCTGTAAAGTTGGGGCATGTACGATTTTCGTTAGGGAATTCACCCTTTCCAAGAAGGTCTGCCAGAGCCGAAAGATTTGACTCGCGGTGGGATACAAATCGTCGGGGTGCTGATCAGCAGGAGAATCGCCGCCTACAAGCAAGTAATCGCTGTAGTCGGGCATGGAAGCTCCAGGGTCCCATTCATGCTGTGGCTCAGGCTCTTGCCCCTCATCCTCCTTTTCTACGAGCTCTTTCATCCCACGCAACTGTAGATCATCAGTTAGCCAGTGTCATGAGCAGAGAATAGTGGAAAAGCTTGCCTCTTCGTACACCGTTGCCCAGAGGAAGTTGTCAATGAATCGAACAGAGCCATCTTCGACAATCACCTTGCCAGCGGGTTTCCAATTGATCTGATTGTTTTCATAGAAAGGAATACTGGATGCTTGAGGCGGTGCTATGGTGCTCTCGTGGTCTAGGGGTTCTTTACTAGCAGCAGCATATTTGGCCAGGAGTTCTTCGCATCGTGCGAGTCTCGCCTGGAGCTCTGCATTTGGACGTCTCCTTTTTCGCACTGGGGCTGGTATACTAGGGCTGCACGTTGCTTTGGACTGGTGCCGTGACTGGTAAGCTTCATCGTGAGGGGAAGATCTTGGGCACGGCAAGGAAAAACCAGGGGCGATAAGACAAGTCCGGATCATTGCGCGCCAAGGTTGGCAAAAGCCAGCGCTCTGCCGTCGTTGGCGAACCGCAAGTTTGTGCCGTAATATTTTGAGGCTTGAGGGCAAGAGTGACATACCTTGATGCAGTTCGAGCATGGATACTTCCGGTCGCATTTGACCTTGCGGCGTTGACACAAAACACACGCCAGGGGTCGCGATGACTTGGATGAGGACTTTTCCGATGGAGATGCCGACATGGCGCGCAGGACGTCAACGATGATAGCGACGTGTAGAAAGGAGTACAGCGATTAAAATCTGGAGTAATCCGGCTTGTCAACAGCGGGGACGGGTATATACAGCAGGCCGGTCGGGAGTCGGTCACAGATCGTCCGATAGGCGATATTTCCCAAGGCAGGAATCTCTCCTTGCTACTCCTGCTCTCGCACATGTAGGTGTGCGTATCATTAGAAGCTGCAACTTTGGGCGTTACTGTCGTGTGCACGCAGTGCAGTAGTAAACATGGGCTGCCTACAAGCTGGTGAGACGTATCTGTGAAAAGGGGGCTGGGAACCTTAAGATCCAATCTGTGCCCTAGCTCGGCGGCACGCTCGGCTTCGAATGCCTGTCTCAGTACAGGCGCGTGTACGACACAGTGACGCTATGGCGCAATTCCCAATTAGATCAAACGCCTGGTCTCTGGCAGCGATACAGAACCGAACCCAGCACTTTGTAGCGCTTTGCTGCGTAGAGGGCCCAACGGCGCATGGGATTGCACCAGGTCCGTGGGCCACAGGGTGGTCGACTGTTCAAGGTCTGCTTGTCTTCGAAGGCCAGCAGTCCACACTGCTAGGCGAAACATGCCTAACGGATGAACTACTAGGCAAGCAAGAAAACTTTGCCTCACTTAACTGCCCAGTGATAGATTCCGCCGGCGGTCTGAGCACAGCGAGAAATCACCGTAATTGATGCGTATGACTTACCTACGAATGGGCACGACCCAGCCAACTTGAAACCTGTGCGAACTTTCCTCCCAAGCCTCTCTTTCGTTATGGACACTAATTGCAACTGGCCAATGCCATTGCTATCCATGCTGTCGAGTCAATCGTGCTCCGATATGCATGGTAGGGCTCACGGCTTCATCGCCTTGCCCTGGCTTGTCGTCTTTGATCGGCAAAAACCCACTTCGTCGGACAAAAAGCGCCTTCGCAGTCTCGCTTAAACTCTGTTCAAATTTACAGAGTCAGTGCCACGCTTGCGATATCAGCAAATCCAATCACGCTGGAAGTTCTTTTTCGTATTGCTCATACTAAATGTACTTAAAATACAGTAGTAAACCTTGCAGTCTGCCTCTCCAAGCCACAGGTTCTGAGCCAAGATATACTGAAGTCAGAAATCTTCTCACGTGGCTAATACGTACGTCACTTAAGAGCCCTCCATCCAAGGTCATCTGATGCTCAAATCGTCCTAATTTCGGCCGTACACAAAACACGCTGTAATAATAGCTTGATATGACTTTTCAAGCTGGAAGGCCTAAACTGTGAGTCTATATGTAGGGACCAAGATCGATGTGACCATCCCCATCGAGGAGTTGGAATAAATTCAGGTCTCCAAATCCATGATCTCCGTCATTCCTCCCGTCAAGGATTGACAAATCTGGTGTCCTCGGGAGCGAGTTTGACAGAGTCAAAAACGAGGTATCCATGTCTGCGAAAGACGGCGAGCCTAGGCCCAAAAAGCCAGAGACGGAATTTGTCTTGACTGCCGATTGGCGGTCTTGCCCCAGTCCCGGAACAACATCATGAGCAGAAGAATGGGCGATTTGCTCAGATTCCACGTTATCCCGCGGTACTAGCCCAAACAACTGTGACGAGCTTTCCGTCCTCTGAAGTCGTTCCTCAAGCTCCTTCTTTTCGAGGTAATCTAGTGCAGCGTTTAGAAGCGACTTTGCAATGAGAGAGTACTGCGAAGCATGGGCATCCTTCTTTGCGAAGTGCTCTAGTACCATGATTGCGTTCCGCGTGTACTTTTCGAGGATGCGGCCGAAGGACCCCAGTAAGCCAACGCCCAGGATAAGAGAGGAAGCAAAGAGCCACGACCTATTCAACCTCAGCATCGTGCACCAATCTATACAAGCCTCATTACTCACACGATGAGTGGCATTTGTCCATTTAGGTATTGCCTTTCAGTCAAGCCAACCAGTATGTCGACCATGAAGCTTGCTGCATCTATGCAAGCATCGGCGAGCTTCGATTTGCCAGAGACCAGACCGGATCGACTGGTCGAGCCACCGGTTGATCCTTCCGTCAAGCGCTTGTGAAGCTCGTACATAAGAAATGGTCGCGAGACTAAAATCACAGCTGAGAAATGTAAGTTAAGCGGTGAACTGACTCAGCCGTCGACGGACGATGAGCTTACCGTAATAGTATGAGCATAATACTTGGCAAGCACCGGTGACCTTGCTTGGGTCCTCCCCGTCCGTCGATTTGGACACAACGTCTTTCAACCGTTGAAGCCACCGGACAGACCAATCCCGCAGCTGTCTTGAAATACCCTCTGTCAACTGGTAGGAGACCTTTTTTCGTGAATACACTTCGACGACAATACCTTCAGTAATGAGAAATATTTGAGCTGAGGCATTGAGAAGATCGAATGCCTCTTGTCCACTTGTATCATCTGCTCCGCGATATGGAACGCTACAGTCAACATCAGACGTTGCTGGCGGCCTGCCCATAGATGTACTTAGGAAGAGATCCAGTACACGCAAGCTCTTCCACAAACGATCTCTGTGGTGTTGTCTTGTCAGCAAGCACAACAAATGGTCAAACAGACGGGCCCTGTCAAGTTGCCTTACCGCTGTCTTTGAATTTCGGGCCCAAAACGAGAGTTGATTTCTGTGCGGTGTATTCCGATGGAATATGCTGCCCTTACCGCGATTCCTTTCCAAAGTATCAGTCTCAACTTCTTCGTTACATTTTGTGCCTGAGATCATCTAACCAAAGAACAAGAATGCCCCATTCATCTGGCAAGAGCCCAACATGTACAGAGTGACTAGAATAAAGGTCTGGATAGTGGGGACGTTGATGTTGCCACTGAGATTGGCGAGTGCCGTGTTGCGCGCATACTCGAAGTAAGACGATGCCAAATCTTCTTCTGCAGATTGATATCCTATAGCAAGGACTAGGTAGAAAGCTGCGGAAGCAACGTCTTGTGATCTGTGGTCTCGTTGAGCCCAGGCACACACCTCGTTCACGAGACGAGCGTCATCGAACAGGTCAACCAAACCACTGGTCTACATTGGAGTTATAAGCATTGGTCAACTGGAAGTCAAGCTGGTGGATTTGAAATCGTCTTACAGCGGCACGGTACGTGGTAATGGCTTGAGGAATGGTACCCGGGTGAAGGACAGGCTCGCCATTGCCGGAATAATGCGCGGGTGGTCGAAAAGAGGGATTTTCCGTTTGATGAGCGAAGACGTGAGGGTCTACTCGAGTGTTGACAAGTTGCCGTACTGTTTGGAAGAAAGATAATGGCGCACAATCTCCAATAAAGACTGGCGAGGTCTCATTAACTCGTGAAGACGTCAGCTTAGGGGAGGCGAGACACACTTAGCTTGCCTTGAGCATCACACAGCAGGCGCGCTTCACGAGGAACCTCTGTCTCCTCCTCCGCCAAAGAATCTTGGCCAGCCTCCGTCGCAACATTGACGTGATCGACGCCGTTGTGCACAGACGGTGACGGTGTTCTTGGAGTTGGCGCGGGAGCTCGTCGTCTCTGCTGCGGTGAGTATCGACAAGTTGCTGAACGCTGGCGTCTCAAACAGTAGCTACATGGCAACTTTCCATCGCATTTGACTATTCTCTTGGTTAGATACATGCCCTGATTTATCGGAAAAGTAACGTCTCAAGCAGAGTGCGCCCTAGCAGCGTAGCCGTTGAACCCATTTGCAATTGCCATCTGCATCTGTGTGCTGCTCGCTGTGGGACTTGAGCAACATCAGAAAGGCATAATGTTAGGGGCAGGTACCTTTTCTTGCTTTGCAGCTATCGCAAGCATTCGCGACCCTTGTGCGAACATAAGTGTGCGGCGATGCCTCCCGCACCGAGACATCATCCATTCTGGTGCAACCGCCGATATCCCTTGAAGTAAACTCGAATCGCGGAAGAAGGAAGATCGGACGCGGAGCAAGAAAGCCAATTGCCGAGGGGTCAAGGTTTTCCGCACTGCAACTGTTGCGACGCTAAACCTTGTCGGGCTTCCAGGAGGGTGTACGTGAGCAACTCATGACGCCAGTGCTCACAGTAGTTCCGAGAAAAGACACGTTATCGGATGCACTGTGCTTGCCATGTCGAAACGCGAACCCCCCCCGGTTTGATCCTCGGATCCTGCGATTCCTTAGCCGCCCACACACAACTCGGCTTACTCTTGTAATACTTCCAGCAACCCGGCCGTTCACAGCCGCATGCTGTGTGGCTCTCGTGACCCGTAGACCGCAAACGTCAACGCTTTCTGTTACGTGAGCACATCCGAAACCGCCCGGAGGCGGAAGACGGCCCACCATGGCTGGACACGTGTGAGTGCATCCGATACTCCTCTCACGCCTTACCTAGGGACCTTCCAAAACATGGTCTTTTCGAAGAAAGCAGCTGAGTTCGTTCTTTTAGGAACATGATGGACGACGTCCTCATTTCAAATTGTACGCCGGACAGTGGAATATAGCGTCGCCTGAGCTGACGACCGTCACAAGCAACACCGGCCTTGCTTCGATCGTCGCTGCGATTGGTCATTTCCCAAAGCTCTTCGACGCAGAATATATTCTTGAAGCATGTCCAAACCAGATTAGCTGAATCTCCTGTGTCATTTCCACGTATACATGCGCTTTTGGGGGATGACGGCGGGCTTTCTCGGTCATTTATTGAGTATTTGAATTGGAACAGATGCCTCTTCTCTGCCAAATTACCCAAGCAGTCGCTGCCAAAGTAAGTTCCATGTGCTGGTGTATGTTATTGAGGTTTGCTTACTTGCTAAAGTCTCGCAAAAATCATCCAAGCAATGACTGTCGTAAAAGATGAAAATCCGAACCCAGCAGAGGCTCTAGAATCATCGCTGCAGATGATTGATGGCGACATCGTCCAGGCCATACAGGCCTTGAAGGAGATTCAACCCCGTCCCGAGTCAGAGCTTGAGCACCAATTTCGCCATCTGATTCTTGCATTGGAGAATTACAAGCGGGTGCATGATAGTAGGGACTCTGAGTGTGTGGAATACCCCTTTAATCGCAGTGAGCGGCAGGTGAAAGACGCCTTTGTGTCTCTGTTCCCAGAGTGCATTGCGGCCACAGCCCCTAGGTCACGTGCAAAGACGCTCATGTCATTGAAGATTGCAACTAAACCTGATTTCGAGACCTTTTATCTTGGGCCGTATGAGTTTCCGAGAGTATTGAACGGTCTGTGGCAGCTTTCATCCGCAGCGCGGGGAAGCGGAAGTACTAGCAGGCAAGAAGAAGAGCTAGTCCGTCTTGTGCAGGCGGGGTTCACGGCAGCTGACATGGCTGATCACTATGTTCGTGTTGTTCCGTGTCTCCCTGCTTCCTAAACTGACTGGATGTAGGGTGATGCTGAGCTAGTCTACGGCGCCTTTCGGAACCGGTTGTCGCCAAGTGTTAGGTCACAGGTTCTAGCTGCAACAAAATGGTGCGTATTTGCACCTCCTACGGAAGCTGTCACGGCAAAATTTGTCCTCGATGCTGTGAAAGAGAGGTATCGACGACTTGGAGGCAGAATTGAACTGCTTCAGCTTCACTGGCACGACGTAAGTTCGGACCTGAGTTGCGCTGCGGCCTTTTACATGTAGCTCATGCCATCGCTGCATTAGTATTCTTCAAAAGAATATCTTAGCATACTGGTTGAACTAGTTCGTCTCACCGCGGTCCACCCGAACCTGGTATCAACAATCGGGCTCTGCAATTTCGATGCGGAGCACACCGTCGAAGCCTGCGAGTATCTGATAGCAAAGACCGGTTCCGTCGGAGTTGTGTCAAATCAAGTTCAGGTTTGTGACTTCTGTTTGATCCCATGAGATACTCTTGAGGATCTTGCTAAACCCCCAAACCTGCAGTTTTCGGTGCTCGACTCCAGACCACTTCACTTGATGGTCGGCGTTTGCCAAAGATATGGGCTGAATCTCCTGACATATGGTTCCCTGGTAAGTTCCAGACAGGTTGCCAAATCAGTTCAAGATGACGAATCTCAGAAGTGTGGCGGAATTTTATCGGCTCAGTGGCTTGGGAAACCTGCTCCCGATGTCTATGCAGAATCAGCGAAGCTGACGCCGTCACAAAGAAAGGTAAGCACGAGAAAGACGAAAAGTCACAATTGACACCTAGGATTTCAGCTGATAGGCCCTCTGAAGTATCACGATATGATCATGCACTGGGGAACTTGGCGAGACTTCCAAGACTTGCTAGAGATTCTTTCGACGGTGGCCCAGGAGCACAGGGTGAGTATTTCAAATGTAGCAGCTCGCTGGGTTCTCCAGCAGCCGACTGTTGGAGCGATAATTGTAGGGACACGGCTTGGGATTTCTAGCCATGTCGAGGAAAACCTCGCGACGTTCGAATTCAACTTGAGTGACTGGGATCTCGATAGGATCAACATCATGGCACTGGGGTCCAATCGGACGAGAACTAGACGGCTATTCACAGGCATCGGGGACTGTGGAACCGAATATCGAAATGACCATTAGTTACTGCGTTCATGCATGGCGAGGTGTCAGGATTCACACGATGGAGCACTAATCAGTAATGAGTGAAAAGACTTGGACCCTAAGTAACCCTAAGACTTGTGCTCGTTGGCGAGGCTTAAACCTTTGCTAAGCGTGACAGCCATGCCTTTAAATGTAGCAAATGAGACGTGGCATTCCATTTTAGATGAGCTCATTGATACTAGGCAGTGAACAAGTTGGTTGGCCATCATGATGATAGATGTCACATTGGTGTAGTGAGCGATTCGACATCCACGGATTCCTGAAAAACCCGACGTCCCTCGGATCATGTGGGCCTGCATGGGTCGTAGAGCACAGACACTTCCGACATCCGAACTCTCTTCCACACACACAAACTTCAACCCAGAACGCCTCTCGGATGCGACTTTCCCCATTAGTGGATCAGTTAGCTCCTGAATGGAGCATCCAGGTTACACGCGGAACAGAATTCTTCATTCCCTTGCATTAGTTTGGTATTTGTCTAAACCGCCATGCTGATGTCGTCAACCGCTCTATGGATATCACAAACTTTGTCTCAAAGCAAAAATCACTTCTTCCGCCCTTGGTCCAGCTGCCCTGCCTGCAAGGTCTCGTCCCTCGTTTGCTTCAAAAACGGCATCAATGCTGTGCCGCCCGTCCCCGTAAGTTGGTCATCTTTGGTAGCAGACGCACTGGCCAAGTCAACCTTGGCGGCAGTGTAAGCCTTCTTGGATGGCAGAACAATATACCGTGTGACGATCTGCAAATGCTTGTTTCTGAACTCCGTCATGGTCTTTGTCGCGTTCTGGTATGCGTCGCGAAATCTCTCCTGCTGCGGCGTGGACGCAGGGAGCTTGGCGAACTCGCGGATGCTACCCATGCGAGTGACATGCTCCAAGAAGCGTTTGTGAGGACCCGGCATGTAGTCACGCACTTCCTCGTGGAATGCGGGTGTACCCTTCTGAGCGGGTGCGGTCTTGCTGGCGTGAGGATTGCTGTTGCCTTCTGACTTGTGTTCCACACCCATGACAATATCGAGAAACTGGATGAGAGAGCTCTGGCCGTTGCTGCCACCTCTGAGTTGTTGCCAGCTACCGCGACCATCTCCTTCGTCGTAGAACACGCCATTCGGCAGCCCAGCTGCTGCCATGTTCTTGCTGCCGGCAAGGTATGGACGAATTTCATAGAAGAAAACCATCGGATCGCAGTGTTCGTACATGCGCTCTAGCAGAGCACCGATCTTTCGGATATTCTCGGACAATCCCTCGAGAGCCGTAGTGATTGTGGCGTAGTCTCTTGTCTTGATGGATTCCAGGGCGTTCAACATATCTCTCATAATGCGAGCACCTTGTGCCTCCATAGCTACCGAGACTAGGTAGAACCAAGCCTCGTCCTTGGTACCGGTAAAAGTGTGAAGGGATTCCAATGATTCGAGATCGGTGAAGTCGTCCGTAGTCGACAAGAAGTTCCACAAATTGAGACCAGCGTAGGTGGCAACCGGGGGGACTTCTAAATGTCTGGAAACCTCCAAGAGGGGAATCGAGACTGAGGGGGGCAGAATCTAGGCATTAATTAGAAAGGTTCTGTTTTGGATGCTACTGCTTCCTTACCTCCTCGGCCTTTTCTCCACCCCAAACATAGGCATGCGTGAAGAAGGTCAAGATCACGTATGCCCTCCTCCATTCGGCCTCGTCCATGAGCTTGTCTGTGCTCAAGACTGAGAGAGCATCAACCTCTCGTCGCAACTTCCCGGCCTTAAGCAGCTGCGCGAGATGTTGGATGATCTTTTCCCATGGCGCATAGTATGAGTTCGGAAGCACTTTGAGCGGCGCGTCTGCGGGGAGGAAACCGTTCTGGGTGATGGCATATTTCTCGAATGAAAACACGTCTTCCGGCGATTGTTCTGCTGACACTGGGAGGGCGTGGGGCGACATTGCAACTAGCGTAGGCTGTGAAACAGACGATACAAGAAGAGACGGAAGTCAAATTGAAAGCTTCGAGAGTGGCTGACTAGAGTAGGAGTAAGTTGGTTGTGATGGAGAGAAGAAAGACAAGGTCAATGCGAGTCAGGGAACAACCAGATGAAGAAGTATTTCCTCAACGCCTTCCACAAACCTGTTCCCATCGCCTATCACCTGTCCATTTGTCGCGGACCCGACTGAGAGATCTCGCCATCCTATCCGGTGTAAGTGGGCCAAACCGAGACCCGTCGGCTACATGCGGAAGTATTGAATCGGAGACGGAAACGGATCGCGGAAGATGGTGGGGCCGTGCGTCAAGTTTGCGGAATGACGATGCACGCTATCTTGGGGGCCTTGGGGCGGCGTCGGGTACAAAGACGAGGAAAACGCCCAGGCTACCGTGCAGCTTGTGCCACAATTGCGAATTCTCGATTCATCACGCACTCCAAAGCATAATATCTCGTACGATTCACCATGGAGTTTGCCGCCTTTGCAGATCAGATCCGGTCCGGCCATCCGGCCAAGTTCCCCACGAATGCTAACACTGCCGAGTATGCTCAGCAACTCGATGCACAAGACAAGCTCAGGCATCTTCGCGATGAGTTCATCATCCCAACGAAGGGTTCTTTGAAGAAGAAGGAGTTGAACGGCACATTCCCTAGTGAGTTTTCATATGAGAGTCTTTTGAAAGACAGGGCTCTAATCACCTCGACAGACAAGCAGGCCGTGAACGGCCACGTAAACGACGTCAATGGTATTTCCTCGTCAAATGATGACGATACTACATCTGTCTACTTTTGCGGAAACTCTCTCGGAGTCCCCCCCAAGGCAGTCAAGGAATATGTCAATGCTCAGTTGGAGACATGGGCTTCAATTGGCGTCAATGGCCACTTCAATGGACTTGGCAACTCACCTCTGGTCTGCTGGCAGGACATGGCTGAGGATGTTGCGAAAAAGAGCGCACCTATCGTCGGCGGTCTTCCCGAAGAGGTTGTCATGATGAACACCTTGACGGCGAACCTGCACTTTCTGCTGGCAAGCTTTTACCGCCCGACAGAGAAGAAGCACAAGATAATCCTGGAATGGAGGCCTTTCCCCAGCGACCACGTAAGAAACGTCCCTTTTGCTATAAAACAGCTGTCAAACGAATACTCACACGAAAGCAGTATGTCATTGAGTCTCAAATCCAGTGGCATGGGTTGGACCCGGCCAAGTCGATGGTGCAGATTCAACCCGACGAGAACTTCTACATCTCAACAGAGTTGATATTGAAGACCATTGATGAGCATGCCGAAGAGACAGCCCTGCTTCTACTTCCTGGAATTCAATACTACAGTGGCCAACTCTTCGACATTCCTCGCATTACCGAATATGCCCAGTCAAAGGGACTCGTGGTCGGTTGGGACTTGGCACATGCCGCGGGCAACGTCGAGCTGAAGCTACACGACTGGAACGTTGACTTTGCAGCATGGTGTACCTACAAGTACCAGAATGCGGGTCCTGGTGCCATGGCTGGTGCATTCGTTCATGAGAGACATGGGAAGGTTGACATAAGTGAAGGCAAGCCCAAGTTCCGTCACAGACTGACAGGATGGTACGGAGGTGATAAGTCGGTGCGGTTCAACATGGACAACAACTTTTTGCCCACAGTAGGCGCCGGCGGCTTTCAGGTGTCGAATCCTTCAGCTCTGGACCTTGCAGCGCTTTCTGGTGCCTTGTCTGTGTTCGAAAAGACATCCATGTCTGACCTGAGGACAAAGTCCCTTGTTCTTACGGCATATGCGGAGCATCTCCTTGATGGCATTCTCGCGGATGACACTGGAAGTGAGCCATCATTCCGCGTTATCACCCCACGCAATGCGCATGAGAGAGGTGCGCAGCTTAGTGTACTTCTCAAGGACGGGCTGTTGGATCGTGTGGTTGATGAATTTGCGACCGCGGGTGTGGTGTGTGATAAGAGAAAGCCAGGCGTCATTCGTGTGGCTCCAGTACCTCTCTACTGCACATTCCACGATGTGTGGAGATTCATGGACACACTGAGAAAGGCTATTGCCTAATATAGTCTAATGTAATACAAAGAGCAAGTCCTTCGAAAACCAACTATCTTCACTTCACCGGGGCTTTTGCCGTTTGTATATTTCGAAGTCTTGAACCCTTTACCAGCATGACCTCCTGGGATACAAGATGGCCAGAGTAGCTTCCTACTTGCGAAAAAGCATCCTGTCCTGCCGTAAGTCCTTGCGAAACTTTGGGGCTCTCATCGTGGCAGCGCACATGTTTGTATTCGACCGCACAGTTCCTGTTGGTATCAAGTGATTGCGGGGCCTCGGGGTGTAGAAGTGAATTCTTAGTTTGTTCCAAATTCATTGAGGAACTTCAACTTAATTTGGCGCATTGGAATGCCAAACAGCTCAGTACGGCTTAAGAAATGGTTGACTTGGTGTGTAAGACGAGATGAAGGACAATAGAGTGTGTGTTGCTAGCAATACCTGAGTGTAATCAATCTTGAGAAAATGAGAATGATGATGGTTCGGCCCGGCATGGCATCTTCATAGAGACCTTTTGGGGAAGACATAGATATCCTTGAATGACATCGCCGTCCGCTGACGTAGAACATCGCACAGTCTATGATGGAGTTTCGCTACCATGCGCGACGACGCTAAGCACAGCAATCGTTCGCTCGAGAGTGGATCTCTTGAGTCAATGTGATAGTTGGCGCCTGTCTGAATGCAGAAACGATTTGCGTAATGGCATATTATGAACTTGTCGAAAGAGCCAAGATGAACGGACGAAGACGGTAATAACACTCGCTAAACATTTCCAACTCGCTCTGCCGAGTTACTGACAAAGCGGCTTTGGCTTTGCGGCTCTGGGTATCCAAAGCCAGTTACGTGATGATATCGCCATCAATTACTTGACGGATCCGACGGTTTTCTTGTTCATGAACTAGCAGCATCTCGTTAGCCGTAATGACGGTAGAGGCAAATTACTGTTAGCGTTGACTTGCATCGGGAGCCAACCCTCACGGGCCGAAGGATCGAGGCGGTGGGGTGGAATACGAAAACGGCAGGCTGAGACCCCAACGACAAACGAACAGCGGGGGAAGAAGACCCCGACCTGGAATCTCCCATCGGCCTAGACAGATCCAGCTCAATTCAACGCTAAGGCCTGTCTATGGGTTGGATACTCCACACCTCGACTTTGCCTCGCGGATGGCTGAATGCAGGTTTCAATCCCTTGGCTGTGATCTGAAAACGGTTATGACCCCAATTGGGCCGCCTCTTGCGTAGGAAAAAAAGGCCCCTCCAGCCCAGAAACAGCAACCGAGTAGTCGGTAAACCCGGGGTCCAGAAACCCCAACGCTGAAGTGATTCAGTGACAAGTGAGACACGGAGAGACATTGCGGCGAAGGCTTCAGTGGTAAAGGTGATGATGGTAGCAACTCAGATACAGCAGACATCAAGCCAAAAATAATAAATAGCGACCGAATACTTCAAACCAGATAAGTCCCTTCTCACACTACAACCCAACTGACTCAACATCAATAAATCATCACATCCAAGCTTTTGCACCATCTTACCCTGTTATTTTTGACTCCGATCTTCTTTGGTCTAGAACTACTCGGAATAACCGCCGAACTTACAAAATGCGTTTCACCAACGTCCTCGCCATCTTTGCATCTGCCACTGCAACCTCAGCGCTTCCGCTTTCTCTCCTCGATGGCCTCTTCGGGTCTGCCCCCACAGCCAACTCGTTGGTGCAGAGTTTGGGAGCAGTGAACAACGAGCTTGTCAAGTTGAACGTTAGCCTAGCCGGGCTCAACACAGCAAACTTGCAATCTCAGGCCACTGGCACTGGAAGCAATGTCAACAATATCGTCAACAACCTCCTTGGCCCTGTTCTACGAGGCCTCACTGTGAACGGTGGCCTCCAGACTGCGTACAACACTGCTTTGAGCCAGCTTGGCACTCTCAACAACCAAGGTGTCATCCTTACGCCTGCGCAAGCTTCTCAGGTCGCTACCACTCTCAACGCATACCAGAATCAGTTGACCCAGGTGTTGGCGTTGATTCAGGCCAACCAGCCTGCTTTCACAACGGCATCGGGAAGTGGGCTTCTTGGCACGGTGCAGAACCTTCTTGGTGGGAGCTTGGGCGGCAGCGCTGCTACTCCGGTCAGCACTGTTCAAAGCTGGCTCTCAAGTACCCTTAACAACAACGGCAACCTCCTCACCGCAGTCAGCACTCTTCTCCAGCGAACGCAGCCTACAATCCAGTCCACACTTCAACAGGTCACCAACCTTCTTCAGGGTCTCATCAGGGCCCAAGTCACCGTTTACGGCCCCTATTAATCGAACAGTCAGCAGTATACAACTTCTGAGCGCGACATAATGAGACTGGATTCTTTCGGCGACGATTAAAGAAATTAATGTGCATGGAAGATTAATATGGGAATTTGGCTGAGACATAACAGGCTGGTGTTGGGAATAATGCATCGATGAGAAGCCATTAACGACAATCTTTCATAACGACAATCACTTATCATAATCTTAATAATGAAACTGACTCTCCTTTTGATTACATGCTGCCACTCCGTGCCTGTTGACTCTTTGCTGCGCTCCCCGTTGGATCGGAGCGCCTCAATCTCGATCTTGCTTGGTCGAAATGCCAAGGTACGTCACTGAGACCTGCACGGCCATTTGCGGGCAAGCGGGCTGCGCGGTCGATGCACTCTCCAATCCAGGCCGTCGGGGGCTGGGTCAGCAGAGCGTTTTCCGCCTATAGCTGGCCGTTGCGCTGTGGTACAGGATGCCTGGCTGGGGTTAGCGCACAGAGCAGGCTGGTCAGACGACAACGCGCAACGCCAGCACATGACGTCACGAGCACATCAGTGGCCGCCTGGTATTAAATGCGTTGTTCTGCAACATTCAACTCGACAGCTGCTGCACACCACATCTCTCGCCTTTGCCCCGCCCTCCCAGCCAATACTCGACCCCAGAAACGACAGAAAATCCCAATAACTCAGATCAAGGTCAACCGATACGATGTTTCAGACCGTCTTCTCCCCGAGCCTCTTCCTCCAGCTCTGTTTCGCCTTGCTGGTAGCAGCCGCTCCCGTTGACCCTACCCTGTCCACGAGTTCGCAGAACAGCTGGCAATATGGAACTGGTGGTGGTGTCATTGGATTCATTGTGCTTGTCCTGGACATCATTGTCTTCAGTAAGTGGCTCCCTCTGTGTCTTTGATGCGGGTCGATAAGTATGCTCACAATTGCCTTCCCAGTCGAGGTTCTGAAGTCCAACCGTCCCGTGAGCCACAAGGTCCTCTGGTGTCTGGTAGTCTTCCTTTTCCCTATCATCGGCATGATCATCTACTGGTTGTTCTCGAACCGCGCCGCACACAACACCCGTTCGGGATATGAGGCCGTAGCTTAAGCAGCTCACGATCACCAAAAACATACAGAATACGCGAGACAGAAGATTCACAGTATCGCGAGTGGCATGTTACTGTAGACCTACATATTAGCGACATGATGTTGTACGAATTTTGCGAGGCGTATGGGCGTGATGCGTGGGACAATCGGCGCGCGTTGATAGACGTTCGCAACAATGGCTTCCGGCCTGCCAAAACCATGCCACCGAATAGACATGCTCATACAAAGCGCTGATGGTGATCCCTTCGTGTTCTTAATAATATAACAAGCAATGGACTGAAGAAATGTCAAAGTACATTGCGATACTATTTACCGCACAACACAATTTCGATGCTGAATGATGTTTTACGCGTTGAACTACGGCCCATCCAGCAGCGCAAGAATCTCCTCTGCTGCCTTGAACCGACCGGCGCCTTCAGGATGCCGCTTGCTCAGATCCTTTGCCCGCGCCTGTATCATCTTGGCATGGGGACCAAACAGAACTCCCTCGAGGCTGTCTCCAAACTCATCGCGCTTCCAGTATGGCTTCGCCTTTCGGTTAGCCCATTTCCCTATGCCAAGAATCTCAGCACGCTGAGCGAAGTCGTAGCAATCTGCCCACCCAGGCAAAACAATCTGGGGTATACCGGTGCTATAGTTGCGAGCATTAGCCAGCTATCATGAATGGAAGTGTTATATATCGGGGGTTGAGCAAGACTCACCACAAGGCTTCATGGAATGAGTTTGAGCCGCCATGATTCACTGACAAGACCACGTTTCCTGATTCAAGGACGGACTTCGGCTCGGCGATGATCCAGTCTAAGATGCGGATTTGATCATTGTCCATCTCTGGGCTCAGAATAGATTTTATCTCCTTCCAAGGACCCAGGAAGTCGGTGCTTGAGGAATCGGTGTCATCTCCGCCTGAAGTCTTCCGAGGCATCTTCCACAAAACCTGCAAGTTGCCCTGACCCAAGGGCTCGGAGCATTTGGCAAGATCGAATAGGCGACGGAATGCGAGAGCTACTTCTTTAGCCAAAGGAACGTCGAAAAAGTGATGTGTGCCTAGGTTCATGTAGACCGTCGGGCCTCTACTAAGCCAGCTTGCCATTTCAGGATCCTGTGTGGTATCTGATATTGCTGGAGCAGCACGAGTAATGGGACCGCAAGGGGTAATGAACTCCGGGAGCACTTCGAAGGGGAAATCAATGTCTGGGCTGTTGGCCACAAGAAGACGAAGACCTTGGGGCGGTGCCTTTACCAACCCAAGCTGGTTCATCGTCAAGAGTTGAATGTCCGGACCAATGACATTATGCAAATGCGCAGAGACTCGAGTGTGCCGCTTATTTGTTGAAACTGTCACGCCAGCCACCACGTTGTAGAAAACATTGAAAGGGATGAGGTGCAGTGGAACCGGGAACGGCAGGCTCGAGCATATGCTTCACGCCAACGTCGTTAGAATTCATATAGAAGCATGATGGACGGTTACTCACACAGGATATCTCCACAGCATTGCCATCTTTGGCTGAAGTGGGAGAGCAAAGTCCTTGATCGTGTTTGGAGCAATTACAATCCAATTCATCTTGATGCGATTGCAAAAGGTGAGTGCCGGCGCGAAGAATGCTTCTGCAACTGTGACGTCTGGTTTAACGTCATTCCAAATGCGTTCGAGATCCCGGTAGATCTCGACGAACTCTTCGGGGCTCCAAGGAAGAGCAAGGCCCGCAATGTTGAGCATATTGCGAGTGACGTTGCTGAAGTTTGGGTTCACCAGCCAAGTTTCCATCATAGGGTTTCCAGGTCTATCGACAGAGTCGAAATGCGACAAACCAGCGACCTCGTGAAACTTGACGGTGTCCACCGCCGCTGAGCCGAGGTCCGCAGTCAGCTGTTTGACGAGGCGGGATGTTGGTCCCTTCAGACGAGCCTGCGATGCAATGTGAACCTCGACATCCCGAGACTTATGTACAAGGGCATGGGCGACGGACAGAACAACATTAGCTTGTCCATAGTCGCTGTTCGTCAAGAAAATGATTTTCTTTTTCGGCGGAGCCATCTCTGCGGCGGGGGGGTGGGAGCAACGATTTCTGTGGTTGTTCAAAGACCTTTCCTCCAAAGGCTTCTCGCATGCTGATATATAGGGGCTCTCAGGGCTCATTACAGACGGTCACTCTGATTCCGACACAAGGCTCCGATGCCGTTATCAGACAGCAGTCTTGCGAGGCTACCTAACTCCCCACTCATGGGCCCTCAGTGGGTACGCGCATGCAGTCATCCCAAGCTCGTCCGTCGAGATCGACAATGCAGTAATCACAGACCCTAGACCTATGCGTTTTGTCACGTATGAGAATAGAATTCACGGTGGATAAATTGTGCGTCTCAACTGTTGAGGTTACATCAAAAATACCACAACGGGCCGAACGCGCTTACATGCAGATTAAGATATACGGGGCCTGCCGTTGTATGTAACCCAAGAGTTGATGAGTCCAATCACAAACCTCTTGGACTGTGAATGGATCAATAAAGTCGAACGCCTTACATGAATCCCTATCGAATGCAACGCTCATTCCAGACACGTAACCGGTGAACGGGCCGAGGATGACCACATGCATGGCAGACGAGCAGAATTACCCGAAATGGGATTAGAATCACACGGGTTAGTACAGGCTGACAAAAAGCTGTGAGCGAGAAAAAGAAACAGAAAAATGGCTCTTCTGCGGTAAGACAACACGCATGCAGATCGCCCTGTCCTGGTAAACGGCGCCCACATTCGTTTGATGATCCAGAGGGAGATAGCATCTACTGCCATGCCATTTGCTGAGATTAATACCGGACAATATAGGCAGGTAAGATCGTATGCATTAGACACATCTGCAGCCGCCAGTCACCTTGGGAACGGAGCAATTCTTTGATAACAATGTTGCACTTCGAGGCGGAATACGTGGCAATACTACGAGGACTTGGGCTCCTGTCACCAGCTGACGGACACAGTCACGTCACTGCGAGAAGTGACAATCTCAGGAACGATAATCGTATGCCTAACTCTATTGGATTCAGACATGATGGCTCACCGCCCTGCTGTTCTAGAATGCTACTGTGAGCGATATGAAATCAGCTCCCATCACACCACAACTCAACCAGGTCACATGTGCTAATCTGCTGCTTACTCAGGGAGTCAAGTCGAGGTTGGAAAACTAATAGTTAGGTCGCTGGGATGACACAAATACCAGGCGCGGATTTCTACAACGTATCTGGTCTAAAGACCAAGCTTTGTTTCGTGTGAGCAATATCTGCGAGATGTCCGCCCGTGACAACATTGCACAATTTGAGTTTGATCCAGCTTTAACGAAGTAAGCCCTTACAATCTTACTTAAGTATTATGAACGCTAAGTTAACCCTCTAGTTGAATGGTTACCAAAACAAATGCCACGGAATAATCCTTACCCTATAGGGTGTGCGGGCTTATTAATCACTAGAGAGGTTAGGTTGTTATTTACATAGTTGTTGAGACGACAAAGAAACCAAAGCTCATCTAACCTAAACAATATCACGTCAAATCGACCTTCCATGTTTTGTGATGACTTAGGGTACTTATTATGCAACAAGCTATACAATCTCGATTGGCTGGAGGTAAAGCCTCTCTACGAATGCCTAGGGATGACACGGGTTTTCACTGCCTCAGTTATTCAACTAGAGACATCTAGCAGTAGTAGCTGAGGTTCATCTAATGATCCCAAGTGACACGGTTACAAGGATACATGTGATTCACAATCGGCAGTTTACCCATTGTTAAGGTTACCACAATAGCAATGAGATTTCACTAACACTCATGTCGACTCAATGGTGTCCCTCCAAGACTACCCCGCCGCATCCGTACTAGATGCTCAGGGACTGACCCCGCGATCTACCTGCGGGGACGCCGGGAGATCTCATGGGTCA